GGATTTGTAGAAAATACTGCAATTCTGCATGTTCTGATTGGGCCTCAGTGTCATGACAAAGGAACAATACACATAAATACCTCTCCTGCAGTGCTGGAAGCGAAGACAAAAAATATCACACCGTATGGAAGACGCATGTCATGCGCAGGTCTGCAGTGTTAGAGCACTTGGCTTTAAAGGAAAATCCATACAGCTAACAGTGCCTTCTGGCACTGTGGAACCCAGTTGTGCTGGAAGATGGCAAGTGATATGTAGATCAATTGATAAATTCATCTCACAGGCTCTACAGAGAACCCTATTCAAATCATGACAATGATGGACTCTCAAGAATCAGAGAACCCTCTATCTTCTCCCCACTTCCCTGCTTCCCTGCATTAACATGCAAAAGTCACTGTTCTTACGTCTGTCCATCTCCCAGACAAATCTGGAATAAAAGCTCCTTTTTTGGATGCTATGCACTGTCCAGATCCCCGTCCTGAATGCAGCACTGTCTGTTCAGCATTAACACATACACCTACAAGGTTGCTAGGAAGAGAGGTCGATGAGTTGTTTGTAAAGCCAGTGTAATCAATGCCAGGGTGTATAGGGATACGTCTACACTTCCCTCTCATGTGTAAGAAAATATGCAAATGAGGCAAAGCAGTGCATATCGCCGTACCTCATTTGTATACTTAATGAGCCACCATTTTTGCATAAGGGGCTTTTGCGCAAGAGCCGTTCTGCTTTTTTTCAGGAAGAATGGCTCTTGCGCGAAAGGGGGTTTTTGCGTAAAAAGGAGCCATGTAGACTGCTCCTTTTTGAGCAAAAATGGCAGCTCATTAAGTATGCAAATGAGGCATGGCGATATTCATCACTGTCTCATTTGCATATTTTCTAGTGCAAGAGAAGGCAGTGTAGATGTAGCCTTGGGGTATAGTGTACGTGGCAGAGAAGGTAATTCCACCAACTGGTTCAAAGCAGAAAAAAGTTACAAAGCACCATAGGTATAGTTCTGTGAGATCCCATCAAGATGCAACCCACCTCGTACTATTGCTGTCACATTGTTGTTAAAGAAGGAAAATCATACTTTCTGGTGCACTTCTTGGAGTCTTCTGGCTCTTCTTCCTTCCCTGGTGTAGCAACTAATTCTAAAGATATGCCACTGACAGACCTTCACCCTTCTGGTTACCATGGGAAAGCACTCTCAAAATGAACAGTATTATAATGTGCCTAATGGAATCAAATTCTGGATCAATCTGACTGGTTTCAATTACAAGTTTGACACCTGTAATCAAGGTTTGAACAAAGTCCTGACCTGGATGGGCCACTGCATTCCAAGATTTCAAAATCAAATTTGCTTAAAAGTTGCAAAATGCTAGAACTATGCATTATACATGTTTTTATTACACGATCCCTGATCATACTTTCCACTGCCTCACTGAGTGCACAAGCTGGATGGTGCCCTGGGAACTAATTAGGTTAAACTCTGATCATCTGAAGAAGTGGGCTCTGCCCACGAAAGCTCATGATACCATCTACATGTTTGTTAGTCTAAAACGTGCTGCAGAACTATTTTTTTTTAAAGTTTTTTCCCCTTAGGAAGTTTGTCCCATAGTCAGAAGAGCAGATGGTCCCAGACTAAGACATGATTGCTGTTATCATCTGGGAGTTGCCCACACCATCTTAGAGGTGATACATTAGTAAAAAGTAGGATTTGTACTGGTGCAAGTTACCTTGCTTTCAAACACTTTATCCAAGCACAAAGTGTCTACATTGGACATTTGAATCCGTGAAAGCTGTATCAACACAAAACTTCATCACACAGATAAGCCTTAAGAGCTGGAAGAGGAAACTAGAGCACAAGAGGAAAGCATCCCCATGGCAGCTATTCATATCATAAGGCTAGGTGCCGCATTCTGGATGACTGGAAAATTACTGCCACTACTAAGTGAATTGCAGTAATGCAGTTCCAAAGTGACAAATGAAAATAAGTCTAACTCTGTTGGCAAGCAGTGAAATGAAGAAAAAAAAGGCATCAAGGCTACAGCTCCTCTGCCCTGAGATTATTTTCCCAACAAGTTTAATTGACATTTGTGAAGCAAATAATCTGTCTGCTTATCGATAGGCAAAGGCAGCAATAAGAAAAGTGGGTTCCCAGTGTGTGAATCATGAGTGGGGCTGAAGAATGAAATCACCTTAATTCTTGAAGCCAGCCTGTCTGGATGAGTAGCTGCCAGCATAGCCTTGATGGCCAAATTATAATGTAGGTAGTAAGCCCTGCAATAGAACCCACCAGAGAGAGAGAAAGAGAGAGAAAATCGACTATCCAAAAAGGGTCAAAAGTCACATCTGCCATTAACCGATGACTCCTGGGTCATACAGTGCCCTGGGCAAGTGGGACTGAACAGGCTCCAAGTACTAAAACATATAAAAAGAGGAGTTCAAAACTATAGGGTTGTGTCTTTCAATTCTAGTCATCTTCCAGGAACATCAGTGTGCATCGACTCGACCCTACTCCTCACGTCTAGACCAGCTGGCCTGTGGACTAGCATGAGAGACTGAGACAATCCCATCTGTAGAATTGTGTGCATGAGTGTGTACATGTATGGTGGATAACTTTAGTAGCTAGGGAACAGTAAATGAATTCTAGATTCACAATAAACACGGCATATTGCCTTACCCTTCAACAAAATTCTGCTAGTTCTATTTCTTTAAGTGTTATCCTTGCATTTAATGCAAATGATTTTTGAAGATGAATTTTAGCACAGGTTAGCACTTTAAGGGCTACGTCAGAAAAGTATGCTTGCCAAATCAAAAGGGCAAATAGATCAAACTGGAGGAAATGAGTAAGGATGGCCTTAGACTTTTGGAGAGCCAGAAGCAATGAAGTCCAAAGCATGGCTTTCCCCTTCCTGCCTTTAGTGCTGGTCCAGAGGAGATCACCAGGCTTTTCATACAATTGTAGCAGGTTGGGTGGGGGAGAGAACTCAAAACACATCCACACAAAATTGTTGAGGATTCAACAGGGAATCTGGAAGCAAGAGATCCCTGTGTGGGTACTAGATTTTCTGGTACTTAAGATCATCCATGGATACTAGTAAGGTACTGTTTATTTAAGGACTAAGGGAAGGCTACGCAACATGGATCCCATGACCCGTTTGTTTGCGGCCCACAGTATGGTTTGGGTTTACGCGGGGCTCACCATGAAGCCTGCGGATAGGATCCTTTCAACATGGCCTCCACTGGGAACATGCTCCACAACAGAGAGTCAATATAATGGTCTTCTGTTGACATGCGTTTTAGTAGCTAAATTCCTGGACTGTCAATGCTCATTAAAAGTGCTGTCATGTGGGTGGAAATTGGGTCAATATTGCATTGTATTAATATCAGCAGAACTGAGTTAAATGGGCCTGCATGTTGCGTAGTCTTGCTTTAATCTTTGTATTAGTGTCAGTGTGAAAAGTTATTTGCATATATTTGCATGTATATGCAACTACACTTAAGCTGCAGCCCTCAGCATGTGCTATAAGTATCTCTGTGGCCCCCAGCACTTCGAAAGTTGAGTAGCCCTGGACTAAGGCATGTGCTTTAGGTAACATTAAAATAGAACTCCTGTCCGCCTTCTAGAAATACCCATTTCCTAATGAGATGTATAAAAAAAATGTAGAAAGCATTCATGTGGATTCTTCTGATTTCCAAAAGACCCCTGGGCAACTCTTATCAAGGGCATTCTTTATTCATAATAAAGTTCCTAACAACCCTTTGCTATTTGTTTTAAAATCCCACAAGTCTCTTAAGTTCATAATATAAGTATTCTGCTTTAGAATAACAACAAATAGCTATATTTTTAAATCAATAATTATTTTATTGAGATACTCTAAGTCAAAAGGGCCAATACATGTGGGGGGCAAAGGTATCTACACACTGAATAAAAAATTTTTTAGGAGAAAATACAAATTGGAAAAAAAACAGAGCACCTAGAGAACAACCTAAGTTATTAGGTATTGAACACTCTCTATCCCTTCTATGAGAGATATGTAATGTTGACAAGAATCAAGGCAATTACAGGCAAGTCTCAACATCCCCCATATCCACTTGCCATCAATCTCATGTACATGCAGTAAAAGTTACATAGCAATTTGAGTACTGGCATCCAGAACCAGGTGTCCAGGGCCCGGTCACAGCAGATAATCCATATACAAGAGTAAACCAGAGAACTCAGCACCAAGTGTTTTATAGTTTCTCAAGAAGAAATTGGAAAAAAAGACAAAAACACTTTATTTTCATACAGAGTTGGGTCTCTAAGTATCTTAGGAGTAAAGCGTAGAACCTTGTACAGTAGACTTTACACTTACCCAAAGTGTAATAGAAAAGGATGGAAACAGATGATCAGTTCCACCCTCTGCCTGGAACTCAGAGCCTCCATGACTTGAGCAGTCACATATTAAAGACAATGAATCTGATAATTGGACAGAATACCAATGGATTACCAAATATGCCAATGACCGAATCAGGTTTATCACTCACCGCCTGAAGATTATAATAAACTATGAACCTAATATACATTGCTTCCTATCCTTCTCTCTCATCATCTTCTCATTCCTTTCTGCTCCCCACATTTTATTGGATTATCTTCCATTGCCAAAAATCTTGGGAGGTGACTTTAATGCAATTAACACCTCACTGGTTCCTATTATCCTTCTGAAATATGGACAAGCACCTCCTTCTTATATCAACAAAATGGAGGATAAAAAGGAATAAGATAGTATTAGCTGAAACAGGAAGTGCTTTTATTTTTTTTAAAAAGGTAGAATATATATTTATCACAGAGAGCAGGAATTTGGTACTAGATTAGACAGGTACAGATACAAATTTTAGTTAGAAGAAAGGAGATGGAGCAAAGTTAGATGACAAAGAACCATGCCATCCAATTTCTCTGGAAGATGCACTTTATGTCCAGAAGCAAGCTATTTACAGGCATGAGAAAGAACCAGATTAGATATTATTTTGTCGGTATATACTGTTCGCTGAAGCTACTAAAAAAGAATGACTCAAAAGTTCCAGAACCAATGTCCTCCTGAAACCAAGAGTGCAGCCTAGAAAAAAAGAGCCTATAAAATGCACATGCCAATGAAGGTTTGGGGCAGCTGATGCATGCATCCAAAGTAAACTGGAGTTATTCTTGCACAAGATCCTTTAAAAGTCAGATTAACTCCTTCATGCCCAATAAATGATATACCTAACAGGGCCTTGAAGAGTTTCTCTCACAAAACAAACCCGGAATAATTTTAATTTTGATAGGCTACTAAAATATTTGTTCCTCCTGCATCAACATCAGTATGTTAAAAGTGGATTTGTGAGTATTGTGCTCATTTGAGAAAGTTTTGATAATTTTGGAAGATCAATCTAAACACTTCTGAGGTGTGTATGTAAGCAGTGTTAATAAAACCAAGAAGCAACATTCATTTACTTCCACAATGAGATCTGACAGTAAGAAGTGCACACGTAATATTGCGATGGATACTATATGTCGAGTTTGAAGTGATAACTCACACATTTGGCTTCTGATGTAATTTACTCAGGATAAAATTATCTAAGAGAAGTGATTTGTCAAGTTAAGCAAGTCTGACCTTATATACATCTGTAATCCTGTCAACAGTCTTTTCCCCAAGGCCCTGGTCTTTAATTTTCCTGAAACATCATCTACTAATGATATACTTTGGGTGAAATACAGTTCTACTCTAAGAAGTCACTGTAAAAATGGCACTTGCCTTATCAGATCTGTTCCCCGTGTGTATACATAATCGGATCTGACCTCTTCAGTGATTAAAATAAGCTCACACTATTTTTTTACTACAGTTAGCTGTGCAGAATCATTGAAGATAAGAATGAGCAATTCATTCTTGGGCAACAGAATTGTTTACCAACTTCTAATCATTTACATTTCTTCAACCCTATGGAAAGGAGTGGGACTGCATGGGTGTCACTAAGGATGCAATTTCCTCCACAGAGCCTTTTTTACTGATGATATCTAAGTACCCAAACTTGACCTAGATCCCAAACTGGGTATCTAGGTCTGGCAAATCATAAACTTAATCTTACTCCTAAACTTGGTCCATATGACAGTGTAACCCATATACCTTCCGGGTGTAGTTCACTGTCCCATGTACTTAGACCACAGAGAGAAAGAGAAAGAGAAAGAGAAAGAAAAAGAGAGAGAGAGAGAGAGAGAGAGAGAGAGAGAGAAAATGAGTTTGCTCTACCGCCTTAGCTGACAGCCAGCTGGCTTTTAGTTCATGCACTAAGCTCCAGAGGTTCTAGGTTTAGTTCTGTCTCTCTACATTACAAAAAGAAAACTGAACATAAATACAGTCACACCGCTATTGTTACAAAATCATATGACAGAGCAGAACCACAATGTGGGCTAACCTTTCCTATATAAATGGTATTTCCTTTCTAACGTCCACATAAATCTTTCTGCTATTTTTAGTTCATATACATATTATTAGATCCTTGCACAGGTACAAAATTTGTATCCACATATATAGCCACAAAAATGAGTTGCAGATATCTGCATCCACATCCACAGATGTGGATTCCTGTGGATATAAAGCGAATTTGCAAGGCTCTACCTATGACTTGCAAATAACTAACTGTGCATAACATTCTGCAGACCATGTGCCCACTGTATAGACAAGATCAACTTAGTCTATAATATAAACAGAAACTAACAGTGGAACAATTGTTTGAAAAGTAGCTATGCATAATTACATGTATATCCAACAGTTCACTGCAATGGCTCCATCTCACAAACTGATACAGTAAGTGTGACATGGGAGTAGGTCAAAGATTTGTGAAAAAGGTCAAGTTGCTATGATTTATCAGGTCCAAAATCCACTCTCTAAAAAAATATATAAGTGCCCAAATGAAAATTTACACCATAGGCTGTAGGGTCCATATAGTGTTACTGAATAAACAGCATATATTTAAAATGTATGTGTGTATATATATCTATATATATAGATATATAGATATATATATAGATATATTTACAGTTATAACTTGAGGTTTAATTTTGCTTTATTGTTACCTTTAAAAACAAAGGAAATCCAGGTCACATTGAAACATGATGCTGAAATAATCTCCTGTCTGACCAGAGCTTGTGTAGGAGTTTAATTACACATGTACCATTGATATTAAATAGCAGAATAATTTGCATCTATAAAGCACCTTTCAGCTGAAGATTTCAAAGCACTTTCCAAATACTCTCAAAACATTCTTGGGAGGTACAACAAGAAAACATCAGACCACACCCATTCTTCAGACAGCAAACCGAGGCAGAATGAAGTGACTTGTTCAAAGTCACACAGCAGGTAATGGCAGAGCTGGGAACTTTGAAATACTCATTCCGATCATCTGTCTTTTTCTATAATATTTTACTTCCCTTGCAGAAGTCAGAATTTGGACAAATAGTTACTCCTTTTTCCCCTTCAAGAGACATTTTTCTTTTGATTAAAAGAAAGAAGGCATGAAAATATAAGAAAATAAGGTCTCCATCCACTGTTTGCCAAATACTGGTGGCTACCAGTTTTTATGGCACAACTGCAATCTGACTTCTGTCCGATAATTACATCTCGCATTTCAGCAGTTTGGTTATTCTTCTAGCAAACCAGAAATTTTAAGTTTCAACCAGAAAAGAGGAGACATGTAGAAAGTAAGAATGTTAAAGGTAAGGCTTATTGGATCTGGTTAACCGATGGGAGATGGGGCAGCTCTCAGCCTGTCATAAGCAGAGAGCCTGTTGCAGGTGGGAGGGCACGCCAGAATGGCCAGAGTAGCCCCTGTCTGCAACGGGCCCTAACTTTAATTGGTTAACCAATTAAACAGGATATTACTTCCCTTGTAGAAAGATACATATATGACCATATCCCATATCATGAAGGAGATATAATAAAGAAAAAAAGTACATGTAGGAATCAGGGTCCCAACAAGATGTTTATTGGGAAGAGAAAATTGCCAGGATTTTATTTTCTATAAAGTGACTCAATTGTGAGTTTGTAACAGTTGAAAGTGTTACGTGTATGAGGGCCATTCAAATTACTGCGGAACTTGCCACCATATGGGGCCTCATGATTGTTGTTTGAGAAAATTTCAATGCCATTGTCAAGGCTGACAAGTGATTTCAGCATTGAAATGCTAGCAACACTGATTGTTTTCAGGGCAACGGGAAAATCAGAATCGAGGAAATAAACAATTGTGGGACTTCAGAAAGACCTTAAAACTACAACATACATACACAGGCTATATATATAAAAATATTGTACGTATGATCAACCTCCTTATCCATCACATGGGATTATTCCAGACTCTAGCTAGAGTCATAACATGCTCACATCCTAAATATGAAAAAAAATCCATAAACACAATGCAAGGGAACAATACACTTCATACTGTGATTGTCACTTCAAGATAATTAATGCCTTGTCTAGAATACTGATGCATCCCAAATTAATTGACTAGTGTAGGCAGATAGTAACTAAGTGGTTATTGAACCGCTTGTGTATCTCACAAGTTACAAAGTGCAATGCAATTCCTGGGGTATCAGACTGAAGATCATTGTGAAAATTGGCTTCCATGATTCTGTCCACACAGAGGATACAGCAACAGCTCTGACAGACTTTTCTTCTGCCCTTATGACCAAGTTACACTCATTCTTTGACGGTGCTGTAGATCTTTTGGACTGTGGCACAAGTAAATTCCAAATCCTCAGGAAACCTAATAGCTAATTCTGTATTTGCCAGGTAGTGTGTGCCTGTAAACTCTGAAAAGTAGCGGCCTATATCAGGGTGGGGGATTTCATGAGGCTCCAAGTTATATTCCAGGTTCTCTGCATGAAGAAGAAAAAACAGTTATCAGCACACTAATGCCCAGCAATGGAGAAACTATTTGTCTCTGCCCTCATCCAGTCAGTTTTCTGTTTCGGAGTTTCATCTGCTCTGCTTTCTGACTGGCTGTTATTGTGAAATCATTAATGAGTATCAGTTCACTGTGCTGAAGAGAAGGAATGGTTCATTCTGAACAGAGAACAAACACATAGGGAGTTAAGTCCCAATCCTGCAGGCACTCTATCTATGCAGAAGCTAAACAATTAGGCTTCAGCTCCCACAGTCAGGAAGCCAATTCCCAGAAGAGGTTCTTACAAACTGTCGAATTATTTGAAATGTGTAAAGGAAAAGCCAATTGTATAGAAAATGCATGAAGGAAGAATTGTGACTACCACCTTGAATGCTCCTAAGGATCGATTGGGATTTGAACTGTGCTTAGAACACAGAGATTACTATTTAAATTCCAAATTTTCTGGAGTTGTAATCCTATAAGAAATGAATGCTTATTCCTTACCACCACAGTATATTCATGTGCTTTCCCATTTAAAAAAAAATTAATCATTGCAAACGCAGATTAAAGTAAAATCAGAAGTAATGTGCTATAGTAAAAAAATGAATCAAATGACATACCACTCATTTGTTCTGTCAGAGGAAAAGCTCTCATTTGTGTAAAGCAGCATTGTTGTGCTATGTCTAATTAGTGACTTACAAGCGTATCATCTCTCTGGAAGTCTTGAATAATGTAATGTACATTTAGCAGTAAACAGAACGAGTGGACAGAATTTATGCATGCCCCTGTTTGGCTCATCTGTAGCGGTTGGGATGGATGCAGAGACCACCATTTAAGAAAAATCCATCCATGCCTAGTTCTTAAATTAGCGAGAGTTAAACTGATCGTTCACAAGCAATATGGTGAAAACCACTTAGAAATACTGATAATGTGTTTAATCAAGTTAGTTGTGACCAAACCATATAATAAACTGCAACCATTAAATTTTAAAAACCAAAACATGTATTTTAAATTCTCTCCTTCAAGATCCCACACTCCCTTCCCAAAGCACAAAATCAAAACTTATGTAAAAAGCAAAAAGTGACTTGCACACAGTGTGGAAGGGACAGGAAGTGCGAATGGTCAAGGGTGATAGGTGATGGCAAGTAAGGACAAAGCAACTAAAGCATACAATATGGTGCTCCAGAACAATTTCAATGTATTTTACAACTACAGATGTATTTGATCTTAATTTTTTTAACTCACTCTCATATATTTTACTGCAAACTATGTTAGACAGCACCCTCTAGTGAAATCTGAATCACAGTCAATTAAAATATTCATAAACAAAGAGTTTCAAAAATGTTTAATCAATCTTTACAACAACTAGTGATGAAGTATTGTTTCCATTTCATAGATGAGAGGAAGACAAGTGAAGAATTCTGCCCAAAATCAAAGGGGAAGTGAATGTTACAGGAAGGATTAGAATACAGAAGTTCCTAGTATCTAATATTCCTGTGTTCTGACAACCACAATTTCCTTTCTGATATAGCATAGTGCATTAAAAATGGCCCAAACGACTTCTATAAAAGGCACAGTGATCATAAAAATGAAACCTTCCATTACATGATTATTTTATTTTTGACTTTTGTCTAAATCTCCTTAGAAACCTGACAAAAACAATAAAGAAACCCCCCCCCCCAAAGCCAAGAAATTCTTTCCTTGTTCTGAGGCTTCTTACAGAATTACATCAACTAAAACACCACCAAGTAATTTTCAGATGTAAGTGAAAGTTGAAACTATTCTCCCAAACACAGCAAAGCTTTCAGCTGTGTTTTCTAGTCATGTAAACTATTAAATGTCTTTTAAAATAAAATTAAAGGGTAGCAAAACTGAAGTAAACTTTTGAGTTCGTTCCTAGTAGTACTGATCTCATTGAGAAATTATGGGAGCGTTCAGAAGCAAGATAGGTCAAATTAAGATTTAAACCATCAGTTTCCTTCTTGCTTGCATCTGCATATTAATTTGTTTAAATAATAAGCACAAGTTTTAGTAGCCATAAAACTTTAGTATAAATATTAAGTGTTCACACAGTAACTATAACAGATCTGATATACCACACATACATAACAATGAAATGTGCACACATCACAATGACAGGCTGATTTATTTGCTCACCTTGAGCAGCATATATGCAGGATCCATCCTCCACCAGTACATTGTAAAAAGGTTGATCTGGGCCATGAGGTAGGCTGTGTACATTCATATTTCTAATCCATTCTTGTCCCATCATGCAGGTGGGATCCCAGCCATAGATGACACAGTTATAGCCATATCTAAATAAAAATATTTTAAAAAATCAAAAACTTTGAAAGGTGCACAGCTAGATACTCTTCTTGAGACAGCAGGATAGTCGCCAAAGGATATGGGAGCTTTGTGCTCACACTCATGAGCTCCTTGGAAAGATTCTGTATAAAGAACACTGCTGACTGAAACAGATTAAGAAATCTATTGTTCCACCTCCAAGCTGAAGACCAAGTCAATTCAGAGTAATTTTGAAAACCAAAAATTAATAAAGTTCTCATGGTGACAATCCTACACCAATCCACCTGAGGATTGGACTGCAAGTTGAAGACTTGTTCAAAGAAATCCTTCTATAATATACCCTCATATGGGAGGGAATTGGAATAGCCATTTGTACTTTAACTCTGTGTCAATAGAGCAATAATAAAGCTTCTCACATTTAACTGAACACAGAACAGCCATTTCCCCCCCATCTCTGCTGATAAATCAATAATCATCACTACTGTTCCTGCCTCACACCAATACCCATGTAAACCATTTTGAAGTTGCTGACACCTCTTTTCCTTTTCCTCAGTGGCTGATTAGTCCTAAACTAAACTCCACTGTAGTATTTGAATACCAAGAGCAGGACAGCACCTACTAACTCACAGCCCATACACCATAAACCTTACTTTGCAGCAAATGGTCACAGGAGATCAGACCACAACTTGTGAGCACAAGAACAAATTCCAATAGAAGTTTTTTATGAATAATTAGGCTGCAAGAATTTCTAAAAGATGAAATACAAGCTTGCTAGGGTACACCACTCCCAATGAACACCACTCCCAATCTCATCTTCTTTGGTAACAAATCCCAACAGGGGTAAGAAACAGACAGATGGGCCCTGAGGCAGCGGGTGGAACCCAAGTGGACTGCAGGCTGCTGCAGTCCACTGGGGTGAAGAAGGGCGACAAATGCAGCCCACCCAGTATTTGTGGTTGTCCATGCTTGATTTATGTACTTATGTAACAGCAAGGGAGTTGTTCTAAGAGATTTTGGGAGAGAAAAATTGATTATTTAGTTGCTAATACACTGGTCAAATACTCACTAAAACCGCAGTCAAACCTATTACAATGCAAACTGACTTACATTTATCATTTACTTTAGAAGTCACTGTATTGGGAGGGACAGTTATTGTCCAATCCTGACATGGTACCACTGAATTCTGAGGAAAATTTCCAGAAACATAAAACCTATTTTTAGAGCATTATACGTGATTGTGTGGTATTCTTTCACAATTCAAAATGACTGCCCCCACCCTTAAATCTGCTTCTCATGATCTTATCAGGAACAGGAGGGGCCAGAAGGGCAGCTGAAGAAGCACATCACAAAAAAAGTAAAATCAGAAAAATGAAGTCTTCAGTGGATGAGGGAAGAGGAAAATATGTGAGAAAGAAGAAGTATAAGATTTTGCTGTTCCTTTGCACTGTCCTTTCAAGGAGGATAGAATAGCAAGAACAGAGAAAGCAATGACATACATTCATTGCTATTGTACTATTTCAAGAGCTTAGCCATAGAATCCCTATACTAACAACTAGGATTTATATGGCTCATATTCATGGTCCTCTGACTAAGCAAAGAACAATTTAGAATCCATGAAAGGACAGTGAAGTATACAGAAGTCAGGCTTCATATCTTTAAAAGGATGCATATATAACTACATATAGAGGCAGACACTTCTCTAACTCTTTCTTAATAAAAATGTAATGGTATTGATGTTCAATCTCAGTAAGAAGGAAACAGCTGAAGACATAATTCCATATATAATCAAGAGCACAGTGCTAGCATCTGGATACTGAAAGACTCAGAATTGATTACCTCTTGTGTTTCATGATCATCCCAATAGAAAAGCAGATATCTTTGTGCTTCTCATCAGTACGGTGCTTCACCTCGGGTCCCACTTCCTCCTTACGGCGTTCAATATGCTCTAGGGTATGCTGAACTAAATATCCTACTGCCCCATGCTGGGATGGATCCAACTCTTGAACATGCTGCAGGATATCCAGAACCTTCAGTGGTGAGAGAAAGACAACTAGGTTTATAAACAGGTTTCTTCAGTAGCTTAACCCTCCCCCCCCAAATATCTACTTTTCCATAGTGCTTAAGTGCTCAACTCTAGAGATCCACTCTGCTTCAGATCAGGATTCCCAAAACCCTTTTTCTTACGGTAAACCACATTTTGGTACAGATTTGAACCAGTTGGACCTATCCACCAGTGCACAGACCACCTTTCCTCTCATTCATCATCTTGTAACATGCACGTGGCAACTACCACTATTACTTACCTGAAAAGTAGTATTAAGGAATATTTAACATAACAGCTGCCTTTTATTGCAGTCTAGCAAGCGAACATGAGGAACCAGCACCAAACAGCTAGTCAGTCCTTTAAAAATTAGTTTCTGCTCTAGACTGCAGCACCAAAGAACCCTTCAGAGGCATATATACCCTAAATGTCCAGTATTACAGTCATTAGTATTTCCAGGAGGACTGGAGATAGTGCCTTCAAACCCAACTAATGTTACTCCTAATTTCTCAGAAAGGTCAGTGTTGCAAAACATGAAGTTCTGGCCTGAAACAAGTACACAAACTATGACTCATAAGCCATGAAACTGTTGACAGCTAAAAGAAGGGTACAGATTTCAAACAAAGTTTCCGAGATGGTGAGAGCTTGTTGCTAGACTAACAGACCATCCTTGTGAGACTATTCTAGACACAGACATGTTATAAAAATGGGCTACTAAATGGGAACAGAATCTTCTTAAGTACTCTGATTTGTCTTAAAGGGTCAGTAGAAGGGGAAATGCATCCCATTCCTGTATCAAAACTTTCATCTGCCTCATATTTGTTAAAAAACAAAACTAAAGTACACATCCCAACAGCTGCTAAATGCCCCAATTATTCCCTGCCCAGCATCCTCCTGATAGTTTCGGCAAGATGGTTATGAATTTTCATTACAAACACTTGCAGCACACACTGAACACTGAAATAGTGATAGAGATGTAGCTGTGTTAGTCTGTCCTGCATTTTGCCTGAACACTGAAAATCTGAGATAGGTGAAGTTAATATCAGAATAAACATTGTCCTGTTTGATGTATACTGGGACAGACAATGAACAAGGGTATAAAAATATTTAGACAAGTAACGAGCAAAGGGGCTTAGAAGGTAGAACTGCATAGTTCAAGACCCTCTGTCATCTAGGCTGAGTCTAGACTGGCAAGATTTTGCGCAAAAGCATCCTTGCCAGTGAAGACAGACGCCCTCTTGTGCAAGAAAACTCTAATGGCCATTTTAGCTATCGGGCTTTCTTGCGCAAGAAATTAACTTTGCTGTCTACACTCGCCCTCTTGTGCAAGAAAACTCTAATGGCCATTTTAGCTATCGGGCTTTCTTGCGCAAGAAATTAACTTTGCTGTCTACACTCGCCCTCTTGTGCAAGAAAACTCTAATGGCCATTTTAGCTATCGGGCTTTCTTGCGCAAGAAATTAACTTTGCTGTCTACACTCGCCCTCTTGTGCAAGAAAACTCTAATGGCCATTTTAGCTATCGGGCTTTCTTGCGCAAGAAATTAACTTTGCTGTCTACACTCGCCCTCTTGTGCAAGAAAACTCTAATGGCCATTTTAGCTATCGGGCTTTCTTGCGCAAGAAATTAACTTTGCTGTCTACACTCGCCCTCTTGTGCAAGAAAACTCTAATGGCCATTTTAGCTATCGGGCTTTCTTGCGCAAGAAATTAACTTTGCTGTCTACACTCGCCCTCTTGTGCAAGAAAACTCTAATGGCCATTTTAGCTATCGGGCTTTCTTGCGCAAGAAATTAACTTTGCTGTCTACACTCGCCCTCTTGTGCAAGAAAACTCTAATGGCCATTTTAGCTATCGGGCTTTCTTGCGCAAGAAATTAACTTTGCTGTCTACACTCGCCCTCTTGTGCAAGAAAACTCTAATGGCCATTTTAGCTATCGGGCTTTCTTGCGCAAGAAATTAACTTTGCTGTCTACACTGGCCAAGAGGATTTGCGCAAGAACCACTGATTTTGTACAGTACAAAGTCAGTGATCTTGTGCAAATCCTCGCGGCCAGTGTAGACAGGCAGCAAGATTTTGTGCAAATACTTTTAACAGAAAAGTGTTTCCGTTAAAAGTATTTGCACAAAATCTTGCCAGTCTAGACGTAGCCCTAATGTCAATTAAATGTGCTGCATAGGCCATGAGGTCTTATTTCCCATTTAATGTCTTAAGAAGGAACATCAAATGCAAGAAATCTCTGGAAAAGCAAAGTCCTGGCACAGTGATCAAATCTCTCAGATATTTTGCTATTTAAAAACAATCTGCTGAATTTTTGTTTTTAAACTATTTATTTTGGAAGGGGAAATACACAAAAATGAAGAAGTTAGTTAAACTGAAATTAAATGGTGCAATGCTAAAAGTGAATCCTTGTAAGCTGTGTGGAAACTTTTTAAAGACACCATAATACTGGCTAAAATTAAATGCATACCCTCCAAATAGGGGAAAAAAAACCATATTAAGAGAACCAAAAGAATGTTATTGTGGCTAAACAAAAAAGTAAAAGAAGGAATGAGAGGCAAAAAGGAAACCTTTAAAAAGTGGAAGTTAAATCCTATTGAGGAAAATAGTAAAGAATACAAACTCTGACAAGTGAAGTATAAAAATATAATTAAGACGGCCAAAAAAGAATTTGAAGAATAGCCTCCCAAAGACTCAAAAAGCAATAGCAAAAAAAATTTAAGTAGACTGGAAGCAGGTATACTAAACCAGTGGGGCTACAGGAAGACTGAGATGCTAAAAGAGTATTCAAGCTCTCACTGTGGAGAAACTAAATGAATTCTTTGCATCGGTTGTCACTGTAGAGAAGGTGACGGAGATTCCTAACCTGAGCCATTCTTTCTAGGTGACAAATCTGAGGAAATGTCTCAGATTAAAAGTGTGATTAGTGCATTAATTTTTCTGTAACCTCATTTCTTGAGCCATTCCTCTACGGTTGTATTATTTTTCTTTTTATAATGAAACTGGTCTTGTTCTATCCCAAACTGACAGAAAAGCCTTTTACTATGGGGAAATATAAATATAAAATTTCTGGCAGGTATGATTTGTTGTTATTAATCCATGGTAGCCTAGCAATATTTACATTGTCACAATTTTCTTGTTCAATAAAAACCCAGTGTGTGACTGGGTTAGGGTGTCAACAATATACTATGGTTTTGAAACGGTTGGCTTTTTAGTACCACTGACTATTTGGAAAAGCTAATCCACCCTCTGTTTAAAGATCTGTCCAAAGTATCTGCACTCAGACTTCTCTTATTCCATATACATTCTAACAGTTTTCTCTGTATTCCTGCTAGCTTGGGATGATCATAGAATCATAGAATACTAGAACTGGAAGGGACCTTGAGAGATCAAGTCCAGTCCCCTGCCCTCATGGCAGGACCAAGAACAGTCTATATCATCCCTGATAGATGTTTACCTAATCTGCTCTTAAATATCTCCAATGAAGGAGATTCGACAACCTCCCTAGGCAATTTATTCCAGTGGTTAACCACCTTGACCATTAGGAAGTTTTTCCTAATGTCCAACCTAAACCTCCCTGGCTGCAGTTTAAGCCCATTGCTTCCTGTGCTATCCTCAGAGGCCAAGAACAACAATTTTTCTCCCTTTTCCCTATGACACCTTTTTAGATACCTGAAACCCACTATCATGTCCCCTCTCAGTCGTCTCCTTTCCAAACTAAACAAGCCCAATTCCTTCAGCCTTACCGCATAGCTCATGTTTTCTAGACCTTTAATCATTTTTGTTGCTCTTCTCTGGACCTCCTCTAATTTCTCCACGTCTTTCTTGAAATGTGGTGCCCCGATCTAGACACAATTGAGGCCTAATCAGTGCAGAGTAGAGCAGAAGAATGACTTCTCACTTCTTGCTCACAACACTCCTATTAATGCATCCCAGAATTATGTTTACTTTTTTTGCAATAGTGTCACACACTGTTGACTCATATTTAGCTTGTGATCCATTATGACCCCTAGATCCCTTTCTGCAGTACTCCTTCCTAGATTGTCACTTCCCTTTCTGTATGTGTGAACTGGATTGTTCCTTCCTAAGTGGAATACTTTGCATTTGTTCTTCTTAAACTTCATCTTATTACAGAAAGATTTTAAAACAAGGCTACCCTTTGCAAAACATTCACTTTCAGTATGGCTATGCTTCTCAATCATGAATTGCTGATTTCCCTCAGCACCTGAATTCTTGCCTTCTCTCACCCTCTGACTGAAGTTCCAGTTTCACATTCAAATCTTACGACTCCTCTAGAATGTTTGTGCCCAGGACTTAGATTAGTGTGAAACATTATATATTTAATCAAAAGCCTTCTATGCATCCAGTGATACTAAAAGAAAGGGATCTTTTCTTCACTTGGCATTATGGACGAGTATAAGTGCTCTCTACATATTGTCTAATATTTATATATCCAAAATGAATCCAGTTTAGTGATCTAAATCATTTATACAAGGAACACAGTTAAGCAATAATAAAACATGAAATATTGTTAACTGCTTAATCAGGGCTGTTAAGCTCTTAAAATTTCATGTTTATTTCTACAATGTGATGTTCTCCATTGCTGTTGGTTGACTTTTTCTCTATGCTGAATGGACATGCTTTAAAAATAAAAATTACACATTACAGAGACTAGTTAAAGTGCATTCTTAGCTGAAAAAAAAAAAACCACTGAGCTCTCTGTCAGCTGTTCACACGTGCCTGTAACTGATCCCTGGTCCAGAAGGGTACAATATAGAGTGAGAAGGCTGAGGAAATACCGAATATTAAATTAGTCATATGGAGAATACAACTCAGATCATCATCTGTACTGAAGATCAACAAATTGCAAGATAGTAAAGAGGAAATGGAAAATAAATCAACCATAAACCTTCAAAATTACTGGTCAGAGAAAGTAAATTGATGATCTAGGTAATTTGCCATAGATATCTCTCCGAATCATAAAACTTAACTGTCCAATGTTACAGTACATCTGTCATATCCACTTGAAGATTTCCAAGGAGAATCTTCATTAGCTTGTACCATTTTATTTGTGGGTGAATCTCTTAAATCTGACACTTAGTCCATACAACAGAATCCTGGTGAATAATTTATTATATGAAAGCTAGACAATTATTCTAGCTACGCCACTCAAGCTTACTGAAACATGCCTTCAGAACTCTGGTCTACATTAGGGAGTTATTCTGAAATAAATATCCTTGTTTCGAAATAACTCATGCTTTCCACGAGTAATAATGCTTATTTTAAAACTGTTATTTCAAAACAGCAGTAATGTGAATGCTCCACTGCTATTTAGAAATAACTACTCCCAGAGCAATTCAAAGTAATTACTCCCCAGTGCTTCCTGGGGCTCTCAGTTGAGATAGCATGTCCATACTAAGGAAACCTGCCATAGACTAATTTCGAGGCTTCGCTGTAGTGTGAGCCTGCTATTCAAAATAATTATTTTGGGAGTTAGTTCAAAATAAATTCTTTTGAAATAATATCCTAGTGTAGTGCCCCAAAAGAGGAATTTAGTTAAAAGGGCCTTAAATCAATTATTTTAATTCTTTGTACTTCTTTCATACATGTTTCTTAATCTGAACACACAGCTATTGGATTTTGATTTTTAAAGGATATTGCAAATAAAGGCATGCAATAGAGTTTTGGGTATCTGGTTTTGTTGTATTCCCTTTTACTTCTGGCAATGAATACCACATATGTAAGGATCTTCTGAATTTAGCCACTAACTTTCATCATGTTACCTTGACAATCACTGTGTTGGGTAAAATTATTGTGTTATGCAGAAGTTATTGACAATTTCTATGGAATATGCAGCCATGCATTAGTATCCATAATCAGCCAGGATTGGGGCCCACTATTCTAAGCATTGCAACTGTTCTTCCTGTCCCCAAAAACTAATAATATGGATTAGCAGAGCCCTAAACAGCAAATGGGTTTATCTCCAGTGGGGATGTGGGTAAAGTTAGAATGTTGAGTCACTGATGAGTAGAGATTTACATTGATGTTTATTTAAAAGGAAACCTCTTTCACTGATATGAATTAAATTTTGCTGTTATATGTAGCTGCAATGAGCAACACTCTTAATGTAATTAAATGGTTGCTCTAATTATTTGCTTTATTCTCAGACTGATAGAAGGCTTGAGTGACCCAGTCGATTTACATGTCCATGTCCTTTCTCCATCAGGTTATCTGGTCTCCTGCCATATTTGGTCTCCAGCCTAGCATGACTGAAGCATCAGCCCCATTAACTGTAGGTCTAGGATTCCTTTTGCAGGTGGCAATGGCTCGAGCACCAAGACACAGTTTTAGTTCAGTTTGTAACAGGTAATCCCAAAGATTAAGGAAAAATATTGTTTGATAAAGTTAATCTAGTCAGAGCTCTTATATCCATGACCTATGCAGAAACCACATAAATACCTGTGCATATAAAGCATCTTAAATCTATCGAGAAACATTAGTTTCAAACATTAGAAGTACATTAGTAGATATATCAAGAGTATCTGGAAACCCAAGTTAAAAAGAAAACACAACTATGGGCAGGAAATCCTAACTTCTTAATCAGGTCAGAGGCTATCCCAAGGAATATAAAAAGGAAAATCTCTTCTATTTTTGGGAAATAGATTTGTGACATGTGATAATTCTTTACATTGTTTATACATTGTTTTTGGCTGATTACTCACAAGTTACTATAGCCCAGAATCATTTTACTAGTTTATAGAGAACCCCTATGATAAAAGAGATGACCAAGTGAAAAGGTACCTTTTCTGGCCAGATTCCCAGATGAAAGTATAACCTAGCCTGGAGCATTAGATGCTGCACATTATCCGGATACATAGCCAGGTACAGATCCAAGGAGTCTCTCAAGAGCTGGTAGGACTGATCAGTGGTTTCCCTATCAGCAAAGAAGAAATTAAATTTTAAGGTTAAGTCTTCATTTCTTTTTCCTATTACTTCAGTGTCCTGGAGACACTGAACAATAAAAACATTAGAAAAGTACTGGTACCCTCATCCAGTTGGAGCAACTCCTGAAGCTTACTGTTGCTAAAAGCAGCCACTACTCTGCTAAAAGGGAATACACTAAAATTGCCCTTCCAAACTCTACTCCTTCCTTGTGGAAAAAAAAGTCACGATTTCAATATCTCCTTTCAGAGAATTCACTCTCCAAGTTGGCTAGCTTGTTTTCTCTCAAATTGCGATATGGTTCTCCTTGCTCATTTGTGCTAAGCTAGTCTTTTATGTTTGTGCTTTTTGGTCTTCTATAACCAACAGTGAAGACCTCTTAACAGAAAGAAAGGTGTTCACAAACAAACAAAATTACACGTCAATTATGACAGCCTTAGTGTAACCACACTAAGTTCATCATGTGTGATAAATTCACCAGATTATAATGAAAGATCCTTTTTCTCTACAGAATGTGAAAACTCTAATAGGTCCCAAAGGAAAATCATATCACTTGATTTGCTTGTATAACTAAGTACCTTCTCTGATACAAGAATATTCCTGTGGAGTGAGTAAAGAGATGGGTACAACTGCCAACTGAATAACTGTCAGGGCTTATATCTCAAAAAACCACTCACAACTGCCATAAAGAATATTACTAATCAAAGCAGCATTTTTCAGGTCCACATTTCCATAAAGATTTAAATCCTTCATGAGGTTTAAGTAAACCTTACCGTTTTCCAAGATTTAAGAGGTTTCCCACCATACGCTGCAAGACCTCCTTTGAAGTAACCACTCCATAAAATTCCTCCGTAACATGGTGGCCAATCAGGTATTCGCATTCTTTCACTGTTAGTTGCTTTCCCTTTCCAAAGGCATCTATATACATATAGTCAAAGATGTCTGTGCTTCTAAGGATACACCAAGAAAATAAATCTCAGTCTTAGGAATCTCATTTAAATGTGAATATTTATCTGTCCTGTCCTGATGTGTTTCACTTTTGTGTTTAAGTATAAGTAACTCAGCTCCTTTAGTGATGGGGTTTAGTTAGTTTCCTCCTAAACCTACTTACAAACACATGAAAAACCAACAGAAGAAAAATGCATTTTAACAACTGTGTTTCTTCTCCCCAGAGAAGCCTGCAAACTATTTCCAAGTTTGCTTTACCTGATGTAATGATATATTAGAAAGCCATGTTTGGCTAAAGAGAGATGGTGGCAGAACATAGCTCATGGCAATGTATGGTGTCTGGATGAGAGTCAAATACTCATCGGGGTATATGTAATCAAGTTCACTATATTGAATAAGAATACTAACATTACTCTTGAAATATGTACTTCTGGGAGTTTCACCACTGCCAATAGCCAATCATTAGGTCACTGGAAGAATCGCCAACTCTGATTTAGAGAAATGGGTACATGACACAGTAGTGGCAGTTTCCACCAGTTGTGCTGTAAAAAAGGATTAAATGAAATTCCTTTTTAAAAAAAGCTATACAATTATCAAAAGCAGAAGTGCTTCCCTAGAGTACTGTCACATTTATTCAGGAAGTCTGTTGCCATTTAGAACCCTCTGAGTGAATACACAGCAGGGTATTCATTCATTGGCTGTTGTACAGATTTAGCATAGATCTACACTGGACAAAATGATCCTGCATTTACAGGTTACCTTGGAAAACAACACTTCTTGTTTCAGCATTAAATTATCTGTTCAATGTCCACCAGAGAAAAAAATGCAATGCCTTCATCATGTGAAAAAATAATTAACTAGGAACTTTCAATTTGACCTATTTTAACATCTTGTCAAACATGACTGCTTTAATTGACCTCTCTGCCAATGGAGTTTCAGGCTAGGAAAATTGTCTCGTGGAGGTAAAATGGTTTACTGGTCTTCCCAAAAGCCAAATGGACTTTAACAGAAATCTTACCCTTCTATCCCTTGACACCATCGCAGCAGGAAGTGACTAGGAAAGTTGACTGGCTCGAGTCTGACTCCCAACTGCCTGGCAATTGTTAAATAGAGAACAGACAAGCTGATAGGAATTCCTGTCCTGCGGATTAAAACCTGAAAAATGAGACTAAATCAGAGGGAAGCTTAGCTATCATAGATCACGTAACACAGGAGGTTAAAAAGTTCAATTTACAGAGCACTATGGTTCTCAGCTGCGATGCAATTTTACTCAAATTGCCTCAAAATCCACTGACTAGCAGCAAATGCACAGAGAGTTAACATACTGCACAATTTACAGCAAGCCACTCCTTTGTAACATACATGTGTACTGGTTTATTTTACTTACTCATCCATGCAAAAGTATAAGCAGAATTGTCTCTCAAACTTGTACCAGTAGTGGCTTTCTAGACTGGTTCAGTAAATACACACTTGCCTGATGAATGTATGAATTCAAAGAGTTGTAGTAATCCATCTCATTTCCTTTGTATTTTAATTGTTCATACAGGACACAATTCATAGCATCCAGTACCTGCCTTTGAAACTCCAACTCAGGAACCCTCAAGATCCCGCCTAAAATGAATACAGAGTAACAAGACTGAGAGAAAAAATATTATTTAAGTAATGATACACAGACAAGCTGCTCACTCCTTGAAAGAGAGCAGACTTCACAGAAAACTTCATAAGGTTCATGGGAGAGGCTTCTCTCTTTCAGATCGCAGAAGACATTATGATTCAATTGCTGCTCACTTTGTAATAGCTCCAAGGAGAAGAATACTTCAAAAGCCCCAGCTCTCCCTAGATCCATATTAGGGCTATTTAAAAATTATGGAATAAGTTACACAAAATAAGCACTGTTTACACAACATCAACACTAGCATCACCACCTGGAAAGACCAATTAGACATTTCTCTACAGTACCTGCCTTTGGAGCCAAGCTTGGATGCCTAGGATTTTTGGTCCGCAGGACTTTGCGAACTTTGTCCGTGATATCATCAACCTGAGCCCGGACACTTGTTAGATAGATGTCTGATAGCGGGTTACAGTACTGGTCAATTAAAACAGCACCTGGAAAATATAAGCTATTTAAAAAACAGGATATTGGACTTTCCTTCACTTTGTTTTATGTGCCTACTTTCCAGCTCTTCATTTAAAAGCACTTATTTTAGAAAACATGGAGTCATTTTTTAAAAAAAAATGTCATTGGTTCTGATAAAGTCAAACCCAAATGCATAATACATGGATACACTGACACAAATGTTGTGTATCTTGTGACTTAGACAATAATTTATGTCTTGCAACCACTTCTCAGACAGACCTTCTAATTCTGAATCTCAACTTTCACGTCTATCATATTTTTAGAATACATGACAAGACCCCAAATCTTGGGATAACACTGCATTTTCAAAGTCTAAACAATCTCTTCATAGTTCTCTAGTTCATGCTTACATGCTCATGAGTATGAATGTAAGGAAAACAGGTGTCCGACAATACAACAAAGTTTTTTTCAAGAGCACTTCCATGCCCATTAGAACTTTACAAGAAGTTTTTTTTAGGATTTTATTTTAAATAAACTACATCTCATTTTTAAGAAACCTAGTGTAGTTTGAATGCCTTACATTATGCTGCTAACATGGCACTGAAGTAGGCTCTTTGAGACTATATAAAAAACTTCAGAGGGGTAGCTCAGTTAGTCTGTAACAGGAAAAACTAAAAAACAACAAATAGACTAGTAGCATCTTAAAGACTAACAAAACATATAGCTGGTATCATGAGCTTTCGTGGGCAAAGTGCACTTCACTTCTTCAGATGTATGGAGTATTAGAAGTCCGGATCCAACAATAAATAAGGGAAGGGGAGGTGGGAGAAGAGGGGAAAAAAAAGAAAAGAGACAAAAGGGGGAAGGAAGGAGAGAGAGAGAGAGAAAGAGAGAGAAAAAAGTAGACAGAGGGTTAAATAGTTATAAGAGGCTGATAAGAACAATTAGCACCTCCACTGTTTGTTTGGTAAATCAATAGGATGTGGAAGGCAGCCTGTGAGCCGATGTCCTTGTTCATACCATCTGCATAAGAATTAAACTTGTAAATGAAGTTAAGTTCCAATCGTTCTCTGTGTTATTTGGCTTGTGGAACTGGCCTGAAACAAAATGGTGACTTGGAGTTCCATTAATGAGTGTCCAGGCAGATTAAAATGTTCTCCAACAGGTTTTTGTGTATTGCCTTATTACATATTATATGAGATTATATAAATACTGTCCACTGGGTCAATTACATAAGTGCATCTCTTAAATCTACACCAGTGAGAAAACATTTTAAAGAAAATAAGATTACTTGCTAATTTAAAGAAAGGAGAGTAAATGCCTTTTGCAAAGTTACCCTGAGGAACAAAACTGAAACAATTAATAAATGAACATTTAATTCTGTATATAGGAAGAGGCTACAGAATAGGGTACAAAAATAAACCTTTCATAGTGTTTACACATTAATCCTCATTCTGTTGGGGTGCCCAAACTTTCAGCTGCTAAGGCCTAGGGATGTAAAATCCCATTTAAAAGATTAATTGGTTAAACAGCATATTTAACTGGTTAACCTAGATCCCGTGGTGAGGGGCTGCTCTAGGCATGCTGCTGTTTAACCAGTTACTGGGAAACTGGTTAACTCTAAGGCCACAGTCTTGCTCTTATGGTGCGCTGCAGTAAGTGAATGATAGAAAATATATATATTTTGTACATAATACTAAAGGTGTAAAAGACTATTCCTACCCTGAAGATCTTACATTTTATATAGACAAGACAGCAAAGAGCAAGAGAATGTTGGTAACTATGGGTAGTCCATTTAACTTAGCAGTGTGCATGGGGAGATAGATAGGAGCTCATGAAGAGGAGAGGAAAAGGTAGCAGTGTGGCAGGAAAATAGGGGGAAGGAGCAATGAAGCAGAAAGATGAAGAAGAGTGTTCCCTGTAAGCTGAGTGATTTGGTGGCCACCTAGCTGAGGTGAGATGAGGAGAAGCATAGACCAGGGGATGAAGAGTCCTTCTTACAAGTTGTGTTTTGTCTTTGCTGCATCACGTCCTGGAGTGTGCTTATATATAGACATGTGTACATACTTGTTTTGATTAAGTTCCTTGCGAGAAATCATGTTCTACCACTGCAATTCCACAGAACAGTGAAAACTGTTTGCACCAGGAGCAATGTATCTTGAAAGGCAAGTGATTCACCACATCTAGCCAATGGGCTCTAGAAGGGCCACTCAACACTTGGCCCATTTGTTTGCAACCCATGGTGCAGTTTGGGTTTATGCAGGGCTCAACATGTGCCTGCAGGTGGGAGCCAAAACAAAAAAAGTAGTCAATATAATGGTCTTCTGCTGATATGTGTTTCAGTAGTTAAATTCCTGGACTGTCATTGCTCATTAAAAGTGCTATCACGTGTGTGGAAATTGGGTAAATACTGCATTTTATTAATATCAGCAGAACTGTCTTAAATGGAGCCTGCATGTTGTGTAGTCTTGCCTTAATTTCTGTATTCATGCCCATCAGTGTGAAAGAAGCTATTTGCATTTATTTGCATGTACAACAGCACTTAAATTGCTGCCTTTGGCATGTGCTGTGAGTATCATTGTGGTCCCCGGGGCTTCCAAAGTTGAGTAGCCTTGCTCTACAGGAAACAGTAGCAAGCATGTTATTGCAACCTGCATTGCTTTCCACAGCTCCCATTGGCCAGGAATGGTGAACAATGGGCTGCACATAATTATACTACCACTGGATTTAGCAGGCTGATCAAAATGTGTTGGTGGGAGAGAGATGACCCACTGGCTGTAGTCCAGGGACCTCTGTGCTAGCCAAATATGCATGGAATGAAAATTTTTATTCTAACCACAGTGGAGGACAAAGTGAAAACATCAGAAATAATTTTCTAGATAAAGTATCATTAATCATATAGGGTGTTTCTAGACTACAGGGTTTTGTCGACAAAAGTTCACTTTTGTAAACAAAACTATACCTGCATCTACATTACCGCCGAGTTCTGTCAACATAACGTCGACAGAACTCGACAGTTTTGTCAACAGCGGTAAACCTCATTCTACGAGGAATAACGCCTTTGTTGACAGAGTTCTGTCGACAGAAGGCGTTATTGCATCTACACTGTCATGTCGACAAAGCGGCTTGCTTTGTCGACAGAACTGGATGCAGTCTAGATGCTCTTTGTTGACAGAAATTTTGTCGACAGTATCTGTCAACAAAGCTTCTGTCGACAAAAGCCTGGAGTCTAGACGTACCCCTCAAGAAGCAAAACTAGTAACTCATTAAAGCACATTTACTTTGGCCAACTGCAACAATACAGTTACCTCAGTTCCAATTATAAGAGCCCTTTTTACAGAAAAACGTTTAATTTAAGCATTTGTGTAAGTGCTCTTCAGAATAGACAGACAGATGAATTTTTAGGCCAAAGTGACTAATAAGAAAATTAACATCTCTATAGTCTAACAAATAGCCACGCTGGTGTAGAACTAAACACTCGGGTTGTTTACACTACAAGTTTTTGCAGCAGAGAGTATGCTAAAGATGGACTCATTAGCATGAGTCGTGATGTCATTAGCATATTTTCTGCTGATTCTTTTTGCACAAGGGGTTTTTGTGCAAAAAGCAGTGTAGCCACAATATCCTTATGCCTATTTAAGAGCAGGTTAGAAAGAAACCTGTCAGGGATGATCTAGACTGTTACTGGTCCTGCCATGGGGGCAGGCAACTGGACTCAAAGATCTCTCGAGGTCCCTTCCAGGTCTATGTTTTTTATTTTAAGTGCAGTCTTGACCACTTACCAAAATCTTGTATTGAAAATTATTGCCCATCTTGCACCAAGGCAATAAGGAGAGCATAGCACGGGGCAGTGCAAATCAGAGAGGCTTTGAAAGAAAATGTTATGAATGGCTAGTTTTCAGAGTCATGAACATTGCTTTCAATGAGGTGGCCCTGCATTCAGTGTGCTTGCCAGTATCCCCCACCCTATTCCTGCAATACAAGCAATAAACAGATTGTTTAGAAATCATACATTTTTATTTAGAGACAACAGCAGGGACAGAAAGAGAGCCCATAGTGGGACCCAAAGGGGATGGGGAAATCAGAAATGCAAGGACAGCCTTTTGCCTTGAGACACCCTGGAAATTGAGTATGAGGCTGTCCATGGGTTTCCCCCAACCTCTCTTATGGCCCCTTGGGTTGTAGGCTACAGAACTAGGTGAGGAGGGAAAGTTGTTCTGCAAGAGGTTGGGGGGGGGGGGGGGGATCTTCTCCAGGCACACCATGTGCTCCATCACAGCCGACAGGGACAAAGACATTTTCCTGCTGCTTCACTTGAAGTTCCCTGCACACTCTCCTCTCCTGCTATCCTCGGTCCTCTCATCTAGTAGCATATTCCTCCATTCCATTTGCTTCTTAAACATGCCTTTCCTTGTCCGTTTCTGCCTGAGGCTTTGTGCGAGTCCAACAGCTGCTGGAGCTGGGGCAGCATGCAGCAAGCTTCCTGCTGTTTCCACTGTAATGAAAAGTTACGAGGACACCTATTACAGGAGATACATTGTGGAGGCTAAAACCTAATCTGTTACCATGCAGCGAAGGTCTCTCTAAAGACAAGAGACATGTTCTGTGCTAGGCCAAAGTTATGCTTTAAAACGGCCACTGTTCAGCGAGTACACAATGGAGTTCTCAAGGGCACAATCCTGCAGGTGGGAGAGGGGACAGGGTTCAGGGAATGGTTATGCCAGTGGGACAGTGCAGAGGTTCACATAGCTTCCCTCCTTAGTGTCCACCACTCCCTGCTTCTCGGGAGAGTGCTTTGGGTGGCTGGATGGGTGGAAGGAAGGGGGTACCAGAGGCTGAAGACATGCTAGCAGCAAAAGCAGCAGATAATAGCTTCCCCTCCTTTATCCAGGTTGTCATGAGAGATATCACTCTCCTCCAAATCACACAGTGATAGGGAGCTGATGCTGACTGAATGTGGCCAGAAACCTGGGCCTTATGCTGCAATTATGCCAGACCACTTAGGGCTGACTTGGAGTGGAAAGATGTCCTATTGTGGAGGCTGGAATAAGGCTGGCATCCCCAGAAACCTTGTGAGAAGGATAAAGGAGTTCCTATCTGAGAATTTCAGAGGAGATCTATAGGGAAGATTCCTGCTCCATCTCCAGACACATTAACAAACTGTTCTAGCCTCGCCGTGTAGGCAGAGTGTGCCACACATCACACCCAACTGTTTTAATCCTCTTGCAGCAAGAAAAGAAATGTGAACTCACCAGGAGTGCTTTCCCCAGGATCAGTGCCCAACTGTGAGGCATTCTGGAAAAGTTCTTGGGTGTCATGGCTCACTTACTGGCCATTCTCCTCATCCTCCTTGTCCTCCCCCTCCACCACCATGCTGTTCGCCATGCTGCTGCCCTGAGTGCCTTACGAGGATTCCATGGTCTGGCTTGGCTAGTCAGGTGTCCCCCTGGGATGGCATGCAACTGGTCTTAGATGTGGTATATTAGCGGCAATGCACTAGACCACCCGTTTACTTCCTTTGCCTTGTGATAGGACGGCCTCAGCTCCTTTATTTTAACATGGCACTGCTGGACATCCCTGGCGTATCCTTTCTCCACCACATACTTTGCAATCTTCACATAGATATCGGCATTTCTTTTGCTGGTTCAGAGCTCAGAGAATGGATTCCTCTCCCCATGGCTCGAAGTCCAAGATCTTCATACTCCATGCTAGTGCCCTTCTGAGCTCCAGTTCCCAGGAGCACAGAACTCATGGAACTTATGGCCACGTGCGCTGCTCAGATGTGCTCTCTGCTCCAGATTGTACTCACAATGCTGGCCGCACAGGAAAAGAAATTAAAACTTTTCCGGGGCTTTTCCTGTTCACATGGAAAGCAGTAGAGTCAAGTTCTTGCCAAAGTGGTCACAGAGGGGTACTCAGTGATCTCTCTCAGTGGCCAAAAACATCAAGTTTCACTACCTTGGGTCTACTCTATCATAAGTTCGAGCCGGTAAGGTTGAAATTTGTGTTACTTCTCATGAAAAGCAGAAATACCTAAATCCTTTTCAGCAGCCCTTAAAATCAACAGAACAGGCTTGGTAATGTGGACTCATGGTTTAGAAAATCAACTTTATGTAGCTACATTTGTCTTAAACTCCCAGTGTAGACTAGGCCTTCGGCATATGATGTTCCTATATCAACAGAAAAAACCCTGCTGTCTCTATGTTGTATCTACATTACAGTTATGCCTCAACAATTCCTGTAGCATAGATAAGGCCTGAGTATAAAGGGAATGGAAAAGTAGTCTGTTGGCTGGAGAGCACAATAATGAATTAACTGAACAGAACTTATGCTTGGGAATGGAGGATCCAGAAGAGAAAATGGAAATCCCAATGGCCTGGAAAAGTAACACTCAGGCAGCCAAAAGGGGAAGACTTCCTCTGACAGGAATGGATTAATACAGGGGCATTAGGGGCTGCAACTCAAGGTCTTAGGCTAAGGGGAAGCCCAGCAAAATTAAATGTCCCCAATGGTCATCAACCCGTTGATCACGATTAGCTGGTCAAACCTGGAGCCCATGCTAGTCAATTGTGATTTCTGGGCTCCTAGAAGTCCAGCGGCGCAGCAGGACTCATGCTGCCTGCACGCCATGTCCAACTGCTGGCAAGTCTCTGCGCATTACTGGAGAAAGAGGGACAATGTGTCTCTGTGTGCTGCCCTGACCCACAAAGGCACTGTGGGGATGGTGCTGGGGGGGAAGGGTCAAGTGATGGAGCCGCTTCTGCCCCCATCCTACCTCTTTCCACCCTCTCCCTCTCGTCTCCACTGTGCACCTTCCTCAAAGCCCCCACCTCTGTGAGCCAAGGGATGTGAGCCAAGGGATTAGGTAGGTGGACTGGGCTGGCAGCAGGGGTTAGTCCCCCTGCACGCACTCCCTGTGATGGGGAGAGCAGGAAGTGGAGTTCCCTGGGAGGCTGTTCCACTTCACAACGTGAGTTTTGCGGGGGGAGGGAACGATTCCTGCCATCAGCCCCGGACCTCCTAGGTAATCCCCGGGGACATCTTTGTATGGGGGCCTGTGAACCATCCCATTCATAGGACTGTTGAGGCAGTCACTGCAAAGTCTATGGACGGCACAGCTCTGCCTGCACTCCAAAGCTCTGTCCTAGGCTGGATCTCCTTCCTGCACCCAAACTCTCTCCCAGAAAGGAAACTAATATAGCACCTGTTCAAGGTAAGAAGTAGGCTATTTTGAAATAGCATAACTATATACTATATGTTTTCAGACTTAAACGTAACCACAGAAAGGCTTATAGTTAATAGCCTTGATGCCATTATTGTGAATTTGGGAATCTCTACCTGACCCTGGGCTCCACACAGCACTTCCACTTTGAAACGCCCTGGGCTCTATGCAGTTTCAAAGAGGCAGTGCCATGTGGAGCCCAGGGTTTGGCCCCAGACTCCATGCAGCACTTCCACTTTAAAGCACCTCCTCATCTTCCCTCTCCCCATTGCCTCTTTCTGATAGAAGCAGCATTTGCTTATTGGATAGCTAGTCATTCAACTAGTCATTCTCATCCCTAGTGCTAATGAGGCTAAACGAGTGAGCTGGAAGTGTCTCATATTTAGCTTTTGATGTCAATGGGATGTTGAATGTAAAGCAAACTGGTTTTATAATAGGCCATCTAGTTCAAGTCTTTGAAGCTAAGTATGGGACACTTCCACCCACTCAATTAGCCTCATTAGCACCAGTACAACTGACAGATATTTCCCCCCTCCCCCCCGTCTCGCTTCTTTTTCAGTTATATATTCTGAGGGCCTCCCCTTTTTTTCTTCATTCAAGCTTATCTGAGGAAGTGAGTTTTGACCACAAAAAGCTCATGATACTACATTATAGTTAGTCTTTAAGGTGCTACAAAACTATTTGTTCTGAAAAGCCTCCCTGGTTTCACTGCAAATACTTACTCGGAGCACTGTGCCCTAAAGAGTTGGAAACGAATCTTCCCCAAGAGTCTAGCCTGTCTAGACTCACTGCAGGGAGCCACAGAAAGCCAGGCATTGCTGGTGCCTGAAAGCCAGATTCTGAGTTGCTGAGGCCACAGCTCTGTTTCCACACTGCGATAACACTCCCAGGAGACCAGTTGCAGGGTAAGGCATGGCCCAGACATAGTGAACCTGTCATGATAATGCACAAGTTTTCTTTTGGGCCTATACTCACCTTCTAAAAATGACTGTTGGTCCTCAGGTCGTTCAAGATACGCCTTCAGATTGTTTAAAATATTCTGTTGTCGTAGAAAGTAAAGAATTTTCTTTGCATAGTACTTCCAGGTTAGACACTTCCTGTAGAATTAAACATAAAAACATAAATGCCCTATAGCCTACTAAATTAACAAGCAATGGCAGAAACTCTGCAAGCCTGTTGTTTCAAAGACCTAATAGCCATCAGGGGACAGTTAAAAGGTGATCTTGAATACAGCCAAGGTCTACATGGTTAGAGGCTTTAAATGCCAACAGTTCCAATTTATACTAATAAATCAGGCTGATCAGGGTCACCACTGGTCTTTGCCAATTTACTATTAAATGCCTCCTCCGACTCTTCTGTTCCAGAAAGTTAACAACTGGACAGATCCCAGATTCAGAATGGTAATGCAGAATTCAATTTATTTTCACCATAGTTTTATTTCACACAATATTACTGCTATGTATTTAAAAGAGACAATGTGGGTGGGGTAATATCTTTTATTGGACCAACTTCTGTTGGTGGAAGGTACAAGCTTTCAAGCTGCACAGTGTGTCTAACTAATAAGTTGGGACAGACTGTTAAGTAAATGGGATCCCACACGCTGCAGGGAACTCATAAAAACGAAATGGACAGTTGAGGGATAGCAGATAGTGGAGTGTGTTAAAAATTGTGGTAATGAGCCATAAATCAGTATCTCTATTGAATCCTCCAAGGTTTTTAGTGTTTTGCAGAATTATGAATGCACACTCACAAGTTTGCCTTTTGAAGTTGTTCTGCTTTCAGGAGAACCTTGCAATTCCCAGAATCACTGGGAATCTCCTGATTCAGCTTGCAGGGGGAGGCAGGGTAGACACTCCCTGCATATCCTGGCCCTCACAGCAAGTTCCCTGTGGCTTGTAGCCCCTGTGGTATGTTCAGGAGCCACAGGGAGCTCACCATGAGGGCTAGGAGTAGCAGCACCCAGTATTTGGGAATGGTGAGGGTTTCCTGTATTTCCTTTGAGGACAAAGACTGAGAAGTCACATATGGAGCAACTGCTTTGTAAAAGTGTCCAGCCACAGGCAAGATGTCGCTTTTGTCTTTTATCATTTTTTTCTAAGAGTTCATTTCAGAACAGCAGTTATCTGGTTTTACCTACACAATTGTTGGGCTCTTTGATACACTAGTTGATGTGCACCAGTTATGTGGGAGCCATGAATCTTGAAAGGTGTGTTATGGGGTGTACTGATCATTGCTGTACTGGTGGTACATCTGCAGATTTTGCATCTGTTATTTTAGCAGGGTCTGGTGCCACTTTGTGTTAGTGTGTCCTGAGTGGCAGACAGCTTGCTTCTGTTGATAAGCCCGGAGAGGCTGAGGAGTCCATCCATCAAGTATAGATTGTAACTATTTGAGACTACCCAAGGCAGGGTGGTAGGTGACAATTAAGGGTGTATAATCAGTGGGGTTTTTTTTTCCTGTATTGAAGCAAGTTCTCCCAGGGCTTTTGGGTGGACCTTTCCACAACAATATCTACTTCTGAAGGCAGTTTTAAGTGCATTTAGGCGTGTATCCCCAACTTTTCCTTTAGATAAAATTCTATTGCATCTGAGTAACTGTCTGTACATACATTTCTTGTTGCAATCCATTGTGATTGCTGGCTCTATCAACACAAGTCTAGTGATCTGCAGGTTTCTTGTATATAGCTGTTTATAGGGTTCCATTGTTGAAGCTAACAATGGTGTCCAGGAAGTTGATGGGAGTGAACTAAGGAGCGTTTTGTGGATGGATGATGGTGGCTGAAGTTATGATGGAAAGCTATGACAGAGTCTAAGGGATGATGGCATATAGCAGGTAGAGATGTAAAATTATGTTTAATTGGCTAACTAGTCAAACTGCTGCTGGGGTCTCAAACTCCCAGCCTGCAGGCCAAACACAAACAGAGCAAATGCACAATCTGGGCTGGGGCTCCTGGTGGGTCTGTTTGTTACTGGCACCCAAGCTCTGCCCCTTCCCACCATCACTCATCCTTTCCCCACGTAATGCCAGCTGTGAGGACATGGCAGCAGTTGGGCCCCCCCATACTTCCTGCAGTGGCAGGTGCAGGGGGAGAGCAGAGTGCTCTCGCCTAGTGAGCTCCACTTCCCCACACAGCTCTTGCTCTGGGGCTCCTGGTGGGTCTGTTTGTTACTGGCACCCAAGCTCTGCCCCTTCCCACCATCACTCATCCTTTCCCCACGTAATGCCAGCTGTGAGGACATGGCAGCAGTTGGGCCCCCCCATACTTCCTGCAGTGGCAGGTGCAGGGGGAGAGCAGAGTGCTCTCGCCTAGTGAGCTCCACTTCCCCACACAGCTCTTGCTCTTGCCACCATGTGACACCAGGCCTCCCCAGTAATCCCCGAA